TCTTTCCATTGTTTCACTTTGATTTTGAGACCGGATGGTACTAATTTTGCATGATTTTTATGGTTATGCAAACCCTTATGGATTTTAAGCATGAAAAGAAGCATTATATGAATTACAACCTAAAAACATATTATTTGAAGATGACTTTTGATCATAGCCTCATATATGATTCAAGATTATAAGTGTTTTTCATCCCTATGAGCATGATATGAATTACAACCTAAATACATGTTAATTTAAGATATGACTTTTGAGCTGAACCTCATATATGACTCAAGATGATAAGTGATTTTCATACCTTTGAGAATAATATGAATATATTTTGTTTTCGGAGTACTATTTAGAACCAAGAAGTCGCAGGTTAGAAAACTCAAGTCCCCTTACTACGTGCTAATGTAGGATTATGTTTCACCACTTTGTCAGCTGATTTTTTGGCCTTGAGAGGCTCAGATTAGTAGATCTACATAGATATGATATTGTTTTATACTCTATCAAAGTATATGGAAGCCCACCCAACTAGGTTAGTTGTTGGACATCATGAACTCACATGGTGTATATCGGTTAAAAGAAACTCTCAAATTTATGCATATTTTACGATATTCTCTTAACTTCATTTGAGGTATTTTGAGTATGCTATTTAACATTATGATTATGCAAGGCTAATGATTTAAACTCGGTTTGTTGTATATGCTTTTAAAATAAGGTCTTAAAACGGATATTTATGTATGAGTTTCAATTGCTTCTCTTTAGTCCCTTTTTTATGATTATGACTCTACTTTTTAGAACTTTATTTCATTGTTTTCTCCTTATGTTACATTATATGAGTATGTTGGTGTCCTTACATACTCAATATATTCCATGTACTACGCATACTTTTCTTTGCGTTGCATTCTTTTATGATGTAGATTTTGACTCATACTTAGACTCGTGGCTAGTAAGGTTACAACATTTCTAGTTAGCACTTGACAAGCCCTCCTCACTTGGGAACTCCACTAATTTAGGTTATTAGACTTTCCTTCATGTTATCTTTGATTTTAAGGTAGTTGGAGGCCATGTCCCGCCAGAAATATACTTTCAATTGAACTAGTAGAGGATTATTTCAAACAATAGAAATGTGATTTCATGGATTTTTTAATTTCTATTATTTAGTCATGCATTTTAGCTTCTGCTTAGATCTTTATTTTATGCTTTGATATGTATACAAAGGATTAGCTTGGGGCCACTCGTGGTTCTAAGTATCGTGACAAATTTTACATCAAAGCACTAGGTTCAAGTGTCCTAGAATGTCTGAAAGCATCTAGTAGAGTCTTTTTTATGGGTGTGAAGTGTGCCAAACTTATAAGGGGGAGGCTACGTGATGTTTAGGAAACATTTTCCCTTCTTTCATACTCTGGATTGTGCAATAGAGTTATCCCCTAAGAAACACATGCAAATTCATGCTTTGTTATATAATTTCTCTAACTATTTCTCAACTTCGTGGTGATATAATTAGTAAAACTCAATTCCTACTGATAAGATATTATCAGCATTTCAAAGACTGTTCCAAAGGCTTGAGAGGAGTCCATTAATGTGATTTAGCCCTTTAATTTGAAATCTTATGTCCTTTTTAATGTAAATCGTGTTGCTGAGCCAAAATATGATATGCATTCAGATTCTTTTATAATCCTTCATTACATATAGCATTAATGAAAGATAAAAGTATTTGTCTAGATAAATCTGATTGTTTTGGGTCTTTCATGAGTCAAGAAATTCGCTTAGGGTGTTCCTAAAGGTAAAACAAAAAAATAACCCTTTTCAGTATTTTTCCCGTCAGTTAAATCATCACTACATTGTATCAGTTTAGTAAAATCATTATAGCTCTCTACTCCGAATGACTCAAACTTAGTGGTGTTGGAAATAATACTCAAATGCCTTTAATCTGATAGTTTATGGGTCACCTAAATTGTCATATTCTAAAAGATATGGGTATTTGAACTTGACCCATGTAGAATCTTATATCAAAACTTAATCGGTAAGGAAACTTTCAACTTAACTTTGTGTTAGGGGATTCTTGTGACCTTAATTCATCTCCAAATTTATTCTCACACTAAAGAATGGACCTTAACACCTAAGCACAATTTAAGAATTACACGAAACGACCTTATACGTAAATGAAGAATGGTTCGGGTCTTATCTTAGAAATTTTCTGTAACACCCAGTTATTTGAAAAAGAACTAGAATTAGAAAGAAGCCATTTTTGGAAATAACTAAATTTGGATATTTTGGCAAGTTATGCTAAGTATGACTTTTGGGTCAACTTTAAACGACCATAACTTACAGCACATGATGAGTTATATGGGCTACAAGATATAAATTAAAGGTCTTTGAATCTTTCCAACACCACTGAGATTTCTAGTTTTCAAGTTTGTATGAGGGAGATACGCTCATTTGAAGTCGGGCTGTCTCGATAAGAAAAGTCAACCAGATTTTAGAAGGGTATTTTGGTCTTTTCATTGCCCAATTAGTCTAATTCATTTTTAGTGATTTAATTGGGGTCAAAAGTGAATTGGTTCAGTTTACACAACACAAAAATTACGCTAGGGTTTTGAGAGAAGACAAAGAAGAGAAAAGAAGAGAAAAAAGGAGAAAAGTGGAGAAGAAGCCTAATTTATCTTGGTCTGGAAGTTTCACTTGTAGATTTCAGCAAGGGTTAATCCCTACGAGGTATGTGAGATCACATAGAGTTGGGTTCATTCACCCATGCGCCAATCATGATTTAAATCAGCGTAATTATGTTCTTGAAAGAAGAGTTTATGAGTTCTTGATGAATTTTGTTGAAAGTTTCATTTGAATCTTGATCGATGAGTTTTGGAGGAGTTTTTGAGTTAATTGCATGAGTTGTAAGGTTGTTTTTGAGTAGATTCTTGTATACTTTGATTGTATATTCAAATCTAAGTGTTTAGGAAAGAAACCAATCGAATCTAGATGAATTAGGGTTAAAAAACGAACAGGAAATTTCATCCAAATTCTGGGAAAAATGAGTGGGGGAGCCGCGCCACTCAGAGTGCCCCAACCCAGGTTCTACAGTTTTGAGCCTGGCGCCCGATACCACTCAGTAAGCTAGGGTCGCCAGGTCTTCTACTCTTTTTCATTTCTTTCAGTTTGAGTTCCCTTGAATCGTACCTATTTTTTCTAGTTGATTTATACACTCTAGGTACATCTAAACATCATGAGTTCATACATACCATTAGATCATAAACCATGAATCAATAATTCAAATTCAAGGAAAGTTAAGAGTCAAGTCAAGAGAGTTCTTAGAGTCTTTCAAAAAGTCTTTTACATTCTTTCTAAAACATGTTTTAAAGACTTGAGCATTGATTTGAGTAAGAGTAAGTGTGAAGTTTATTTCTTCAAAAGTTTATAAGGGAACTAAGTATTCCCAAGAGTTAAAATGTTTTCACATTTAAACAAGAGAGGAAACACCGATTTCCAAGAGAGGAAACACTAATTTTCAAGAGAGTGTTTGAGCTAGTTTTGGAGTGATAATCTCAAACACCAGACAGAGTTATGTTTTTAAACATATGAGCTTGTATATTTTGGGAGTAGTATTGAGCACCGATTTGGGGACACTTTTGACTTCAGATAATTGAAAAGTCTCCATAAGCCGTGTAGCCAACATGGGTAGACAAGGGTCATACTTTTTAGATGATTCCTTGATGCTTTTAACATATACTAGTGGATCCACTTAGTGAGTTAGATTCTATACCACTGGCAAGGTATATGACAGCCCTGGCAGCATGAGGCAAGATGATGTACCATCACTTAAGCTCATAGAGATGGTTTTCGGTTAGAGAAACTCCCAAAGAGATATTTCGTATACTTATATACACAGTGTTATTTGTATTTTCATATACAAACTGAGTTGGTGTGTGTTTTTAAATGCACTCAGTTGTTATCTTCATGTTTTAAAACTTTTATTTATGCTGCATCTTTATTTCTGCTTTATATTGAAAAGAGTTGAGTTGAGTTGAGAAGTGGTAAGTGTTTCTTTCAAATTCCAGTTCAATCTTATGTTTGTTTAGATTTCCCCTCACATTCTCGTACATTCAATGTACTGATGCCATTTGGCCTACATCATTTTATGACGCAGATACACGTAACCAGGATCAACATCCAGCGCTTCGTTGACCCAGTTGAGCACTCAGAGCCTTGTGGTGAGCCTATTTGCAATCCAAAGGATCTCCATTTTATTGCATTGTTTAGTATTTTCAGTTGTTAGGATGATTGGGGGTCTTGTCCCGACATCTCTTATAGTTTTAGAGGCTTCATAGACAGATAGTTATAGTTCTTTAGTGTTGATATTTCAGTTGTCTGATTTTAAGACTTGAGTTGCCATTTTGGCTAAGTTGGATGATGTTTTCTAAAACATTCTCAGTTTATCTATTCAGACAGTTTATTTAAGCTTGTATTAAAGTACTTTTCAATTGAGTAAGTCTTCCACTGAGATTCAAGCCAAGCCAAGGGTTTGCTTTGGGCCAACAATGGTTCTCGAGTGCGAGTTCGGCCCAGAGTGTAGGATCGGGGAGTGACAAACTTGGTATCAGAGCACAGAGTTAAAGATTCCTAGGGTGTCTATGAAGTCGTGTTTGTAAAGTCCTAGTTTTCGGTGTGAAGCACGCCACATCTATAATTAGAAGGCTGCAACATTTAGGAACTATCTCACCTCTTTTGTATTGATTTCGTGCGATATATTTTATATCTATGAAAGTTCCTTTCTAATTCATTCTTGTGCATGTCTTTCAGATCATGCCTCCATGAAGAGCTGTCAGAGGTCGTCCTGCTAGAAGGAATGTTAAGGAACAAGGAGTACCTAATACACCAGAAGTGCAACCCCAAGGAAAGGTCACCAATGCTGAGTTCCGTGAGGCCATCCGAAAGTTGAGCTAAGCTGTGACCAACCAAGCTGGGCAACAAAGAGAGAATCATCATGAAATACTTCTAGGATCCGTGAGTTCTTAAAGATGAATTCTCCAAGCTTCACTGGTTCAAGTGTCATTGAGGATCCGAAAAACTTTGTTGAGGACCTTCAGAAGGTTTTTGAGATTATCCATGTTGTTGATGCTGAGCGAGTGGAACTAGTTGTTTATCAACTGAAGAGTGTGTATAGAATCTGGTTTGACCAATGGAAAAAGAACTGGGCCGAGGATGCACTGATTGTGAGCTGGTCTGCGTTCGAGAGTGCCTTTGTAACACCTCGATATTTGAAAATAACTAGAAAGAGTTAGAATTGGAAATAGTCATTTTAGGAAAGAATGAAAAATCTGGAAATTTGTTTAAGTTATGTTAAGTTTGAGTTTTGGGTCAACGTCAAATGACCATAACTCATAGCTTAGGATGAGTTAGGTGTGCTTCCAGATACCGTAGGAAATATCTTGGAATTATATTTCCAACGCCATCGAGTTTGCATGATTCTGAGTTTGTATGAGAGAGATATGCTCATTTGAAGTCGGGTTGTTCATATAAGGTAAGTCCAATCCAAATTTTAGAAGGGCATTATGGTCTTTTCCATACCCTATTATTTAAATTTTGTTTTTGGTAATTATTTTAAGGTCTAAACTGATAGGATTCAGTTTACGCTATTGAAAAAGAGTTAGGATTTTGAGAGAAAAGAAAAGAAGATGAGAAAAGAGGAGAAGAAGCAAGGATTCGTCGATTTCTTGGAGATTTACGTGTGGATTTCGCCAAGGGTTAATCCCTACGAGGTATGTGAGATCACATAGCGTTGGTTTAGTTCACCCACGTGCCAATCATGATTCAATTTAGCGAAGTTGTATTGTTTTGAAAACAAATCTTATGAGTTTTTTATGTTAATTCGTTTGAAATCTTGTGGGTTCTTGTTGTTGAAGTTTCTTGAGGTTGATTCATGTATTTAGGGGTGATTTTTAGTTGAATCTTGTGTATATTGAGGGTATAGTCGATTCTAAGTGTTTGGGGAAAGAACTAAGTTGAATTAGGGGGTTTGGAGTTGAAAAATGAAAAAGAAAAGTCGGAGTGCACCTGGGCAGGGGCCTGGGGCGCCGCCCCAGCTAGAGCGCCTCAACAGAGGCTCTAAAGTTTGGGCTTGGGGAGCCGCACCAGCCAGAGTGCCCCACCCTTGCTTCTAAAGTTTGCCCTCTGGCGCCCCACGTCGCTCAAAGAGCCAGGGACACCAGTTTTCCCACCCTTTCCCACTTCTTTCCGTACTTGTTCCTTAGCAACGTACCTATGTTTCTTAGTTGATTCCAACACTCTAAGGTAAGTCTTAATATCATGAAATCATCCATATACATGAGATCATGAACCTTGAATTTATAATTCAATTCAAGTAAAGTTAAGAGTCAAGTCAAAGGGTTAAGAGTTTAGTCAAGTTGAGTTCAAAGAGTTTTCCAAAAGTCTTTCACAAACGTTTTAACTTTGTTTTAAGACTTGAGCTTTAAGTTAAGAAAATAGTAAGAGTAAAGTTCATTTCTTCAAATATTATACGGGAGCTAAGTAATCCAAGAGTTAAAATGTTTTCACATTTAAGCAAGAAGGGAAACACTAATTTCCAAGAGAGCTTTTAAGCTTAGTTTTGAGTAATTATCTCAAACCAAAGAAAGAGTTTTGTTTTAAAAACATATGATCTAAGTACATTTTAGGAGTAGTATTGAGCACCGATATGGGGAGCAAGTTCATAATAACTCAAGTCTCCATAGACCATGTATCCTTCATGGGTAGAAAGGATCATACTCTTTAGATGATTCCTTAGTGTTTTTAAGCATAGACTAGTGGATCCACTTAGTTAAGGCTTCCTATATGATGGCAAAGTATAGGACAGTTCTGACGGCATGGGAAAGACGATGTATCATCACTTAAGCTCATAGTGGTGGTTATCGGTTAGAGAAACTCCCACAGTATTATATTACTTTTATGTAATTAAGTTGTTATTGCATTACTTTAACCTGTTGAGTTATCATCTATTATTTTTAAATGCTTTGTATAAATTGCAACTTTATTGTTGTTTTTACCTTGCATTTGAGTTGAGTATTCATGAGTTGAGTAAATCCAAGGTAAGTGTTCCTTTTAGATTCCTTTCAAGCTTATGTTATGTTTAGTATTCCCCTTGCATACTCGTACATTCAATGTACTGATGCCAATTGGCCTGCATCGTCTTATGATGCAGACACATGTAACCAGGATCAACATCCAGCACCTCGTTGATCCAGTTGAGCACTTAGAGTCAGTTGGTGAGACTCTTTGCTATCTGGAGAACCCCTTTTTATCATTTGATTTAGTACTTTAGTTGTTAGGATGACCGGGGGTCTTGTCTCGACATCCCTCTTTGTATTAGAGGCTTCATAGACGAGTAGTTATAGTTCTTTAGTCTTTCCATTTTCAGTTGTATACATTAAGACTTGAGTTGCCATTTTTGGCTAAGCTTTATATCTCTTTAAGTTATTGCATGAGTTGTATTTTGGGACTGTTTCTTATGTTAAGTCTTCCACTGAGTAAGTAAGCCGAGCCAAGGGTTCACTTGGGGGCCAACAATGGTTCTTGAGTGCTGGCTACGTCCAAGGTGTAGGCTCGGGGCATGACATCCTTCATGGGGCGTTTATTTCCCCGTGAGCTAAGAGAGGAAGAGGTAAGAGAATTCCTCACTCTTAAGTAGGAATCTATGAGTGTTCATGAGTACAGTCTGAAGTTTACCTAACTTTCCCGCTATGCTCCAGAGATGGTTGCTGACATGAGGAGTAGGATTAGTTTATTAATTGATGGGTTGTCTCTTATGTCAAGTAAGGAAGGCAAGGCAGCTATGTTGATAGGAGACATGGACATATCAAGACTGATGATTCATGTACAACAGGTTAAGGAGGACAAGATGAGGGATAGAGAAGAGTTTAAAAACAAGAGGGCTAAGACATCAGGGAATGAGTTCGGGTAGCGGAAGAGTAATGTGAACCGGTCTTCTTTACAATATAAGCAAAAGAGACTTGCTCCATCATCTGCTAGTGAACCTGCACCACGAAACAGAGGTGAGTTCAACAATCAAAATTCACAAAACTTCAAAGCTAGACCTGCACAGTCTCAGGGTAGTGTTGCACAAGGAGGTAATAGGATTCCTGCATGTACTAAGTGTGGTAGGACCCACTCAGAGTTGTGTCGTGATGACTCCACTGGTTGCTTTAAGTGTGGTCAGAATGGTCACTTTAAGAAAGAGTGCCCTAAGAACAGACGAGGAAATGGTAATGGGGGCAATAGATCCCAATCTTTTTCAGTTGCTCCACCAGACATAGCTGCACCTAGAGGAGCTACTTCAGGGCAAGGCGGTGGATCAAACCATCTGTATGCTATTACTAGTTGCCAAGAGCAAGATGATTCGCCAGATGTTGTCACTGGTATGATCAAAGTCTTTACTTATGATGTTTATGCTTTGTTAGATCCAGGAGTGAGTTTATCTTTTGTGACTCCATATATTGCTATGAATTTCGATATTCTCCCTGAGCAACTTTTTGATCCCTTCAGTGTTTCTACACCTGCTGGTGAGTCTATTCTAGATAAGAGAGTCTATCGTGATTGTACCATTTGCGTCAATCACAAGAGCACCATGGCTGATTTAGTTGAGTAAGACATGGTAGATTTTGATGTCATTCTAGGTATGGACTGGCTTCATGCTTGTTATTCCTCAGTCGATTGTAGAACTCGAGTTGTTAAGTTCAAGTTTCCTAATGAGCCAGTCATAGAGTGGAAGAATAGTTCAGCAGTGCCTAAGGGTCATTTTATTTCGTACCTTAAAAGAGAGAAAGTTAGTTCCCAAGGGGTGTGTATATATCTTAGTTCTAGTTATTGACTCTAGTGTTGAGACACCTTCTATTCAGTCAGTTCCAGAAGTCTTTCTAGACGATCTTCCCGGAGTCCCTCTTGAGAGAGAAATAGACTTTGGTATAGATATTCCTCCTGATACTCGTCCTATCTCTATTCCTCCATATAGAATGGCACCAGAAGAGTTGAAAAAGTGAAAAGAGAAGTTGAAAGATCTCTTAGAAAAAGGTTTTATTCGACCAAGTGTCTCACCTTGGGGCGCTCCGGTCTTATTTGTGAGAAAGAAAGATGATTCTCTTAGAATGTGCATAGATTACCGTCATTTGAACAAGGTTACTATCAAGAATAAGTATCCTCTTTCGAGAATTGATGATCTTTTTTATCAACTTCAGGGTACCACTTATTTTTCTAAGATAGACCTAAGATTTGGCTATCATCAGTTGAGAGTAAGAGAAAGTGATATCCCTAAGATAGCTTTCAGGACCTGCTTGGTCATTATGAGTTCCTAGTTATGTCCTTTGGTTTGACCAATGCTCTTGCAACATTTATGGACCTTATGAACAGAGTATTCAAGCCTTATTTAGATAAGTTTGTTATCGTATTCATTGATGACATTCTAATCTATTCGAGGAATGACAAAGATCATGCAAGTCATCTCAGAGTAGTTCTCCAAACTCATAAGGATAAGGAGTTATATGCTAAGTTTTCTAAGTGTGAATTTTGGCTTGAGTCTGTGGTATTCTTAGGCCATATTGTTTCCGGTGATGGAATTAGAGTTGATACTCAAAAGATTGAGGCAGTGAGAACTGGCCTAGACCCACGTCACCAACTGACATTAGGAGCTTATTGGGATTGGCTGGCTACTATAGAAAGTTTGTCGAAGGGTTCTCATCTATTTCATCTCCTTTGATTAAGTTGACTTAGAAAACAATTAAGTTTCAATGGTCTGAAACCTGTGAGAAAAGCTTTCAGGAATTGAAAAAAAGGTTGACTACTACCCCAGTATTGACCTTACCAGAAGGTATGCAAGGTTTTGTAGTATATTGTGATGCATACAGAGCTGGATTGGGTTGTGTGTTAATTCAGAATGGCAAGGTTATAACTTATGCCTCCAGAAAAATTAAGATTCACGAGAGGAATTACCCAACCCGTGATCTAGAGTTGGCTGCCGTAGTATTTGCTTTGAAAATATGATGTCATTATCTTTATAGTTTTCATGTAGATGTGTTCATTGATCATAAGAGCCTTCAGTATGTGTTTAGTCAGAAAGAGCTTAATCTCAGACAGAGAAGGTGGTTAGAGTTACTCAAGGATTATGACATGAGTATTCTCTATCACCCAGGTAAGGCTAATGTTGTTACTGATGCTTTGAGCAGAT